ATATATATATATATATATATATATATATATATATATATGTAGACATTGAGGTCAATACCAAGGGGCAATGTTCTGTTTCATGTTTTCACACAATCTGATGCCATAAATATTGCATTTATCATGAAAGAGACTGTCACCACTTGGTGTTCACTTCAGTGTTTACTTTTATGTTTAGATGTGTTCTATCGATGAAACTGAGCCCTTTTGTGCATAAATATAGTGCCTTTAAACCACATTTTATCATATATATATATATATATATATATATATATATATATGTATGTATAAAGTGTACTCAGGATAATAGTCTTTTGTGCAAATTGTTTTGTTCCTTAATTTTAGAGAAATTAGATAATATCAAAAATAACTGCCAGAATTGAGGGGTCATGTCATGAGTCCTGTAGGTCACTGTGGGTGGCACCACATGTAATCATCAGTAGGTATATCTTGGGCAATTTAATCTGATGGTTTCCACTCCTCTCCAGGCTTGTTTTGAATTCAGACTTTTTCCTTCTCCTAGATAGGTTTGTCCTACTAAGTTTAGATATCTCAGTCCGTCCCATTGTTAAACCTTAAGTGAAAGGGCAAAAATTGATTCATGCCTTTCCAAGTCTATTTTTATTAAAGTGAATACAACAGCCTCAGCTAGAATTGAACTTGGGATGCCAATTTCACTTCCCATATTGATAACCTATGTGCCCTTCTAAATTGAGGGAACAAAATTATTAACAAATTCTGTGTAATTTTTACTTTTGCTCATATTTTGATCCCCCTTGACATTTTTCCTAACGCAGAGAAATTTATGCAAGAGATCAAGTGAGTGAATATTTCTGTAGGCTATTCAAAGCTTGCAGCTTTTTTTTTTTTTTTACAAATGAACTCAATATTAAGAAGGAAGATTTGTACTGACGTTTTAATTTATGGATTTTTTGTGTCAGAGCCATAGAAATTCAATCATGTGCGAATTATTTATTAATAGGCTTATTTAAATTTTTTATGAATGGAAATTTCTTCTTCATATTATGAACTATAGATCTACGTTCTGTGTATAGCTGAAAGAATTACATAATTATGATGATACAAAAGTTTGATTATACTGCAGTTATAGGATACAGACGTTTGCTGATACAAAAGATTGATGATAGAGAAGTATGATGATACAGTCTTGATGTTACAAAGGATTGATGACACAGAAGAATGTTCATACAGAGATTTGATGATACAAAAAATTGAAGATACCTATGTATGATGATACATATATGTTATGACTCAAAAGATTGTTGATACAGATGTATCATGGTACAGAAGATAAAAAAGTATGATGAAACAGAAGTTTTTCATAGCAAAGAAGTATGACAATACAGTTAATGCAGCTTTCAGGATTACATTTTGTTTCATGATTGTTTTATTAGAAATTTTGAGATTTTAAGCCAAGAAGATTTTCAAATGAAAAGTGTTACAGAATATGGGGGCTAGACAAAAGTGTTAAATCTGACTGTATTAGTCAAAACCAGTATGTTTGAGCCATCTCCCTTTTCCTCTAGTTTCTTTCAAGACATAATGCCTACTAATATGTCCTCCTGAAATAAAGTGAGTAAAAAATCCTGAAGGGAATTGTCTATCATTTGTAGTGAGTATGAAATAAGTCCCTTTCAAATTCAGATCAACCGAGGAAAAAGAAGGAAGTAAATTTGTGAGCCTATGTGAAATTGCTTTTGTACCAATGAGAACTTTGTCTTCATAGAAATTAGCCATTGAGCCAAGAAAATGGAAGAAAATAGTGAGCCTATGTGAAATCCTTTTTCTATAATATAAGGAAAACAAATCACCAAGAGTGTCTGAAGTCATGTAAAAGGTTTCGTTCCTGTTCATGCATCCAGCATTCAAGTTCTTGCTAGTATAAAATTATTTGCTAATTATATTATCACCTTTTAATCAAGCATATGGCACTTCAAAGAATTTTCTCTGAACAATCCAAGAAAGCTAAGTATTTCAAACTATCTCTCTTCATCTACTTTTGAAAATATGGAAGTGTATATCCCTTCTGTGAGCAACAAACTTTCTTACATTTGTTTTAAACATTTTGGAATATTATTTCATGTCACATAATTTAATGTTTTATGAACATTTCATCTTCATAACAATTTGTTGGAACTAAGAATTCTGATTTATTTTCCTGAAACAAGCTACTGACACAACTTCAAGCATGTAAATCCATAAATAAATTCCTTATCTTGTTTGGTTAAAATTACCTGTGTGTTTCCTCGTCATTACTGTCCTTCATTAATCTACTTGATTTGGATAATTCAAATGTTCATTTTAAACACAAAGTCCCAAACCACTATACATTAACTGAGTGTTGATGCATCATGGAGTCCCAAATAAGGAATTGCCTATAGACCATGAGAATATAAAGATAATACATAAATATAGCAAAATACCTTATTTTCTCAGTGATGCAGAATGTCATATTATAGATTAACTTTTATTCTAGCATTTTGTTATTTCTCTTGCTCTCTCACAAATCCAAACACGAACTGGCAATACAAAGCACATTTTATATATAATAATATAATACTTGTCATTCTATGTGGAATATAATGTCATTCTATATGGAATAAAGTGCTTTTAATATACAAAGGTGGATCATTAAGTCAGCAGTAATCTGACATGTTAGTCTTTGAATTTTGATCTGAAGGTTCAGCTGTGTAATATTTGGTTTATGTGATTAATCTTCAACACTGAATTAAGTGCATTGACAAGAAAGGAGATTACACTGAAAAATAAATTTTTGTGTAAAATAAATATTTTTTATATCAGGCTATAGACCAATTGATGCAATTATTTAAACAATAGCAAATTTAGATAAGTAAATCTGAAAAAAAACACTATTTTATTTTTTTTAGGATGTTAAATTATGAACGATATAAATATTACAATTAAATGGATGTGATGAAATGGAGGCTGTCTATCAAAGTTCAAAATGGACGACTAAATTGTTTGGATGAACTGTAGAGAGTGATAATCTTTCAAATAACCTTGTAGATCATGAATCTTATTAGTTGGGAAAATATATTTAATGACATCCTGATTGTATTAATCACCTGATTTCTCTCTGGAATAAAATATTATTATTTCTTATTTGATAATAGAATTTGTTTATTTAAAGATGTGTGCCGTCTCAAAGTGAAATAATTTCTCTTTGGGTTTTCTGTCTAATATTGACTCTTGATTTGATAGAATTTCAATAATAACTTATAAAGCCAATCTCTATTATTTTCATGGTGAAAAGCATGTCTTTTTATATTCACATATTTATTAACTGCATTTTATTGTATTTTTTTATGGCCTTGAGAAATCTGTTGAGAGAAATATTATTCTGATGCATTATCCTCTGCAGTTTTCTGGTGGTTTTGTATTATACGTTATTTGAGTTTATCTGTATATTTGCAGTGGGTGGTTAATCAAGGATTTTGCAAATGTAAAAGAAAGATACATTGACTGTTTGGAATAAGAACAATGTTACCAAAGTCTCTTATTGCAGTACAAGGATTTTTAATGCAGTATATAAGTTATCAGATGAAAACTTTCATTGTATTTTGTATTTATGATAATCAAATAATCAACTGTATTAGATTGATTGTTTTTTTATGGTCTATCAACTTTTAACAGGTTATCTAAAACAAGAAAATATTTTTAGATTGTAAGAATTTTTTTGAGATAGTAATGATTTACTGATACATGTCATACTAATTAACCCATAGCTGGTGAGGAAAAAAGGTGGATTCATGGCTTTCCCAAGGGTATTTGTGTATAAGTGAATATAAAGAACCTAACTGGAATTGAAACTCAGCCCTTTGATTAATAATTCTGTGCTGTTATCCATCACACCACCCACACATCCAAGCTTATAACACTTGGTATTCTTGTCACCCATCTAACTAATGACCAGACTCAATGCTGCTTAACTTTGATGATTGTACAAGAACAGGTATTACAAGGTATTATAATGTGATATGGTTGTAAGACTTAATCACCTGTCATGACCATCTTCACTTCTCAAAGACCAAAAATCAAAGTATAAAAAAGATTTTCAAAGCCACAAGACAACAAATTCCTGTAGATAATAAAAATTGGTGGAAAAAAATCATAAATGATTTCTGAAAAATCAAAATCATCAGTAAAGAACATTTTCAGAACCTTGTCTTTCTTTCTTTAAATATAGCATTTCATTCCAGGGTCATCAGTAGTGACCATAGCCACCATATTATTTCTCAGCTGTAGCCCTGGTTCTGTCTTTTACTAACTGGACAAATCACCCCATGTTATGCTTCAATACTCATTTGCATTGGTGTGAATAAAACCTGGGACAGCTTCTGTTAAACTCAAAAGCAAATAAAAGGTTAAATACTACTGTCAGGATAACAGAAAACATGAATTCTGTTTACATTTTATGGGGTTAATTATTCACAGATTCCCCTAACCTAATTTGTTACTAGGTAAGTGACACTTGGAAAATCTTTACAAACTAATGGATCAGATTTTCCCTTTCTCTACATCTTCATCATGACTCATCAATCTCTAATGGCCGGCTTGTAACTGACTTACTGCTTATATAAACCCATGAATAGAATTCCCTACATTCCAGTTAAGTGGCACTTGATCCCAAAAGTTTTCAGTTATTTATTTATTTCATTTCATTTCTCTCTACTTGTGGACAATGGGTAACCACCTTGAAGACCTCATATCTAGCCTTTACTGTTGGTCATAACAACAGATTCTTAAATTCTAACTAAAATTTAGGTTTCACTTGACTTTTTTTGATAACAGCTTGGTCCCTTTATGTCAAAATTTTACAAAAATAAAAACTCAGACATAACTACAACTCCTTTCTATATAACTCAGTATATTTTTTAAATAAGAGAAAAAATGCAATGATTTTGTTTTTGGTGAATGACGTTAAACGTTACGCATATATCAACTATAAATCTTATTTTAAAATGATTCATTTGCCATCTAGGTATGTATCGTCATTTATTCTGTAAAAGAAGCTTAAAACTAATTTAAATATCGTTTTCAGCTCTTTTTTCTCTTGACACTCTGTTAGGCTAAAAAAAACGAATTTAGGAATCTCTCTTTGTTTATATGAATTCATTTTTTCATTTCTTTTAGTTTCCATTTTCTCCTTTGTGCCTGTTGTTTCTGTGACATTACAAGGAATTTTATACTTTTCAGGTTTTTGTTTTGTTTTGTTTTGTTTCTCTATCTTGCAAATTTATCTACTTCCTTTCTTTTCCAATGGAATTTTTCTGCACATCTAAAGTTTAACTTCCTCCTCCTCCTCCTCCTCTCCTTTTTCTTCTCCTCCTCCTCCTTCTTCTCCTCTTCCTCTCCTCCTTCTCCTCTTCATTTCATCTTCTTCTTTCTCCCCTCCTCCTTTTTCTCCTTCTCCTCCTCTTCTTCTTCATCTTCTACTTCTTTTTCCCCCTCTTCTTCCCCTCTTCTTCTTCATTTCCTTCTTGTTTCTCCTCCTTCTTTTCTTCATTTCTGTCTTCTTCTTTCTCCCTTCCTTCTTCTCCTCCCCTTCCTCCTCCTCCTCTTCTTCTTCATCTCTTTCTTCTTGTTCCTTCTCCTTCTTCTCTTCATTTCTGTCTTCTTCTTTCTCCCTTCCTCCTTTTTCTCCTCCTCTTTCTCATCTACTTCTACTTTTCCCTCCTCCCCCTCTTCTTCTTCTCTTCCTTCTCCTTCTCAATCTCCTCCTTCTTGTTCCTTCTCCATTTTTGTCTTATTCTTTCTCCCCATCCTTCTTCATCTCTTTCTTCTTTTTCCTCCACCTACACAGGTGGAGAATGACCTGCAGGAAATCTTTATTATGATTATGATTGGTTAATGAGGGAATAGACTAAGGGACCCAATACATCACATCCCCCTTCTTGAATAAGTTAGAATTACTAAATAAATTTATGGAATTTCATTTTTGTGAAGAATCCCAGGGGTAGAAAACACTACCTACAAGTAAGAGGATGTGCCATAGGCACCGTTGCAACTCTATCATATGCCACGATCTTCATGGGAAAATTTCAGGAGACCCATATTTATCCCTTCATCAGTAGCAACTGCATATCCTATGCAAGATATATCGATGATATCTTCTTTATATACACGGGCAGTAAAGAGAAACTCACTGAATTTCTTATGACCCTAAATACAGTACATGACTCCATTAAGTTTGACCTCGGAAAACCAACAAGATTGGTAACATTTTTAGACACCTGCATTTACATCGATAAAAAACAGAAAACTACAAACGACACTACACACTAAAATCACCGACACCCACAACTATCTACACCTTAAGTCTTCCCACCCAAAACACCTCAAGGAGAACCTTCCTTATTCACAAGCACTTAGACTGAGAAGAATATTTTTTAACAATGAAGAACTAAGTAAACACACTCAAAATCTCGAGCATCAATTCACAACACATGGCTATAAACACCTAATCAGGTAACAAATAAATAAAGGAATTTCCAAACCTAGAAAAAACACCCTAATGTATGAAATTAAAAATAAATCCTTCCCTCTAGTAACCACTTTCAACACCACTCTTCCGTCTCAGATAATCAAGAGTCGCTGGGAAATAGTACATCTCAAATAAAAATTTCAGATGATAAGGTAACCCGTAATAGACCAAAAATAAAAACAACAAAATTTTCTAAACCATGTAACAACAAAAGAAGCTTATGCTGTAACCACATTAAACATACCAATTCATTCACTAGCTCAGTCACTAAATCTACTTTCAAAATCTACCACAACTCTAACTGTAGAAGTCATAACATAATTTACTTATCAGAATGCACACTATACTAGAAACAATATGTGGGAAAATCTGAATGGCCCTTTCACTATAGAATGAATAATTATCATAATCGGATCAAGTCGGCTTCCCACGAAAAATTATTACATGTAGAACAACATTTCTGCCTAGAAAAACATAATTTTAAAATGCCAAATTCCCTGTAATTGAAAAAATAGAAATAGACAGAAAAGATAAACTTACAAAATTACTAAAGGAACATGAAGACAAATGGATTTTATGCCTCAAAACACTTCGTCCAGATGGGCTTAACCACAAATTTAACAACATATAATTAACATATAACTCCTTAAATCAAGCCCTACCCACATTTCTCACCCACTCAAGACAGACATGCTTGCAAAAGTGTTGAGTTCGCAAACATATACACACACTCACACAAATATATACACATACACACATCACACACACTCTCAAAGAACTAAAAGATAACATGCACTTAACACACACATCCATTCCAAGCAACCAATAAAACTGTCAAAATGACCAAGGAGGGAATTCTTAGTCAGGAATCTGACATCCTCTATCTTAAAAACAATTTCAAAGAGGCCGTTTGACCAACACAAGGACTGACCAAAATTAACAATAAAAAAACAAATGAAAACTACTGATAAAGTTCACTTTCTTCAGAGACAGTCATTCACTCCTGAAGTTCACTGCTATTGACAAGCAGGGATTTCTTTTCTCCTGATGAAGGCCAATGCTGACCGAAACTAGTCAAGGAACCTAATTGAAATAATAAAAATAATTGAAATAATAAAAATAATTGAAATAATAAAACAAAAAATAGTAATACACAACCCAGTGTGTTTGAAAATTTTAATTTTTTGATATTTTTTTATTGTTCAAAACATGTTTAAGTTTGTTGGAGTTGAATTAGGAGGAAGAAAGGTTCCTATTACTTCTGACTATTCCATTGGTAGTCAACAGAGAGGAGACTTAAACTGAAAAAGTTATAAACTGAAATTTAATCTGACATTTTTGCTTTAAAATATTTAATCCCTTTGACTAATATTCATCCCTAAAGTGTAGTGAAAAGGATAGAAAAGTTTTTTACAGTTTACATCCCTTTTCTGGATAACTCAGTTTCAAAAAACTGGCTCAGTTTTCAGAGAAGGTATAGCACGTGGAACTAGAACAATCTACCCCAAGAAATAAAATGAAGGGTTTGCTTCAAAATTCCAATGTATATCACCTGAAAAGGGCTGAGCATACAATGGCCAAAATGTGAATATGACAACAAAGATGAAGACAATAATTCAAACAATGTAAATAGTGTAAATACATAATCATAAATACAATAAAATTTCATTCACTTTAGGAGAAAATATACGAAATATATTTTCAATTTAATCTGAAATAGAAAGTGCAAATAAATCAGGAGAACACGTTTCCTATCTTATGCAGATCTCATGCAATTTCAGCTTAAAGTGCTGGAAACAATTTTCATTAAGTCTAACCCTAGGCTGCATAAACAAAAGGAATGGCTTGTCAGTTTTAATGTGATCTGCATCTAACAAATTTTCATTTGTATATTACAAACATTTGTATTTTTGTTCTTTTTTAAGAAGTAGATATTTTTTATTTTATCTTTGATTGACTTTTTGATAAATAACCAATCAACTCAAAAAAAAAAAAAATTCTTCTGCTCTATTTTGTGTTTAATTCTTCTGTCCCCGTTTAACTTAATATTTTTAAAATATGTCCATTTTTACACCTTATATATACACACACACACATACATACTGATATATGTGGCACAAGGCCGAAAGTAATGAGCACCCAGTGAGGATCGAACCCAATAATCAACACAAGCTTGCTAATCATCATGCCACATCAAAGTGTCCACACACACACACACACACACACACACACACATATATATATATATATATATATATATATATTTTAAAGTATGATATATTTATGGGTTAAAGTGCTCAATATCAGGGATAGAGCATATATGTTAACTTTATTTTCCATATATATATATATATATATATATATACATGAATTATTCATACAAAACTAATGCAAAGGTTAATGATTTAAATGGCAAGACATCCATCTTGCAAACGATTTAAATAGTACACAAAAACCTCTAAATCCGTTATGCATGAGTTGATCCTTGTTTATATAAATTTCTGCCGTATTAGTTGTTATTTTTACTACAAGCTTTCGTCTTTTCCTACAAACAACGTCAGGTATATAAATAGATGTTGTTCTTGGTTTTTCTCTTAGTAATAATAGGACATCGAAAATATATGTGTATTGTATCCGAAATGCTATTAAAAATGAGTTATTGGTTTTTGACTATATATATATATATATATATATATATAGTCATCCACAAAGAGAGTGTTTTGTGTGGCTAGACATGCGATTTCTTCAAGCCAGGATCGAAACCCAACCGATTTGATATCAGTCAGAGTCTCTCAACCTGTGTATTAGTACACGCAGCAAAGAGAAGGAATTTTTAATGCATTATATATGAGGTATATGCATTCTGGGCACTTAATTCCTAATGAAGAGCTTAGGCGTTAATTAGCAACAGTCGACGAAATCCCTTTCTTCCAAAGTACTCAACCTATATATATATATATATATATATATATATATATATATCCTTAAACAAAACGGACGTCATACCTAAGGCACCTTTCAGCCAACGCTTTGTCAAAGATCTTCGTTGGTAATATTAGATATAAATGAATACAAAGACACACTTAATGAAGTGAATGAGGAGGGAAAGGTGGAACTCGACTAAAAGACAAATTTTAATTCTATAAATTAAAATTGAACGAGAGGGGATGTAAATAAATAGTTCCACAAGAGTATAACATAGAAAAATAGAAAAGGGGGAACTCACAGACCCTCCAACAGACATAAGGGACGTAAAAACAGACGTAAAAGACTGGGTTGCTGAAACTTAGCTTCAGAAACTCGAAGATGGTGTATTGATCAAGCGCTCTATAAAACCGAAAACCACGTGTCTTCGTACTCAGCACCACAAGCATCATTGGCCAATTGCAGACTCATGTACTGACTGAGTTGTTCTTCTTATAGGCTGACTGCGACTGCCTGAACGCACAAAAGGCAGGAACATGCTGCGCCACCCTTGTCTCCAACCTTAGATTGGTACGTCCTATGTATACCACGTCGCAACGGCATTTGAATTCATAAAAAACAGAATTTTTATGAAAATGGGGCAGCCTATCTTTAGAAAAGGAAGGAAGCAGGGTTCTAGTATGAAAAACCATGCGCAACTTAACGGCATTGTATGTAGACAAAATGGACGCCGAAATTTTGTCCAATAATAGCTGACATTTCCTGCCAAGCCAAGGTAACTTCAAATAAACAGGTCATTGGCTAGGGCCGAATGTCACAGGCTCCTTAAAGCATCTGATTTTGTTATCAATCACATGCCTGATAATATTGATAGGATATCCATTACTTACGAAAATATTTCGAATTTTAGTAAGTTCTCCATCTAACATTTCAGGGGAACAAATCATGACAGCATGATGGACCAAAGTCGAAATCAGACTAATTTTGCAAGACTTAGGAACAAACGAGTTCCAGCTCGTATAAAGTCCGGTGAATGTGGGCTTCCAAAAAAAGTTAGTGACGAAAGCCCCATCCTTTCGTTCAACTAGGACATCCAAAAAAGGGAGAGTTCTATCCTTTTCGATCTCCATTGTAAACTTAAGGGAAGGATGGAGAGAATTTAGTTGAGCTTGAAAATTAATGGCATCTATGAAAGAATCAAAAATGGAAAAAGTATCGACCACATCTCTCATATAGACACAGGGTTTATGGACTTTATCAAATAAGATTCGTTCATAATAGCCCACAAAAATGTTGGCTAAAACAGGACCTAAAGGGCTGCCCATAGCAACCCCATCCGTCTGGATGTACATTGTGTCATTAAAGCTGAACTCCACGCCTTCCGTGGCCAAACG